TTGTGCGAGGTCAAGGCAAGTGATGCTGTTGTTCTTTCTGTCTTTGTGTAACGTTTGTCTGTGCTTCACACCACGTACATATGAAAACATTGAACTAGTTGCGGAAGCTTCATAGGCTGATGGTGAATGTTTAGAGTGAACCACATGACAGTTTATACTGACTTTTATAGATTGATGTGTGAAAATGAAGAATGAAAGAAGTTATTGGGCACCATGAGCAAGTTAGAGAATGGTCAATATGATGACAGCATTTCTTGGTTATTAAATCAATTACATCACGCAGAGTAAAACTTGTTTGATTTCTGCAGTAAAAGTAAAAAAAAAAAAATTGTAGTCACCCAGAGAGAGAGAGAGGAGGCAGGTGTTAAAGATGGAAAAGACAGCCAAGGTGTTTTTCTACATTCATTTTACAAGACAATTCATAGTGGAAACTACTACAGCTGTACAGCACACTTGATCACTACAGTGCTGACTTCTAAGAAAGTACTGTGTACTGTGTTTCTGTTGTTTCTGACAAGCCATTTGAAGACAGTCTTATAAGTGTTAAAGGGAAATTAACTCAAAGTAATATAACATATGTAGCACAGCACTAAGAGCACACAGTTACACAACCATTCAGAAAAGGCCATGACGAACAATAACAGTTGTTGTAGCAAAATTTCAGATGTCTTCAACATAGTTTCATTGTATACAAACCTAAATTGTTTTTATTTCAGTGAATTCACAAACGCCAACCCTGAGCTTGATTCCTGTAACAACTCTGAAAAGTACATTTGTCATGTGTGTTATTGAGGATTTCTACCCCATGGATTACTACTTCACTATACGATGGAAAGTAAATGATACCATCAGCCAGACAGAGCCAGTACTGGAGTACAAATTGAATGATGAAGGTCTTTATACAGCACAAAATCTTTATAAAGTCAGCAGTGAGACATGGAATGCAAATACTAACTATACCTGCGAGGTCACACACCAGGGCAAAACAATTATTGAGAAGAAGAACTTCAAGTCATCTAATGGTAAGTAATCTAATGTGGGTTTGATCTCTCTAGCTCTTTTTTTCACTTCAATAGATTCTAATGTACATGTTACATATTGACTTTATTTCTCCTTTGCAGCTCCATTCACACTAACACTGAAGCCACCAATTGAGAGAGACTTATTTGTCAATGATAAAGTTATCTTGGAAGCTGTTGTTTCTGGAGATGTAAAAACGGCAGTGAATGAAGCTTCAGTGTCGTGCATAGTGAAGAATGAATCTGTAATCAGTGTAACAGGAACTATAAACTTTTCTCAGGATATTTCACAGTTTATAAGAATCCACAACATCACTGTTGATATAAAGAAATGGTTTGATGGTGAAATGGTCACCTGCACCATTCATGACACAATTAACAACAGAGACATCAAGCAGGAGATCCGTTTCGATAAAGGAGGTAAATAATCAACCTTATGGCTCTATGTGCATTCAGAGATGATGAAAGGTTGTACATAATTTTATTGTCTGGCAAAAAACGCAAGCACATTTGAAATGTTTCGACAGTCCAGAGCTTTTTGCTGTCAAAAAGTTGGCTTGTTAAACTATTGATATTCACTCCTCTGTTTGATTGTTTAATGAATCTTTATCACTTTCTCCAATTCAGATGGACTGAAACCCAGTGTTGTCATTTACACACCTGATTCTATTGACACAGACAAAGTCTCTCTGGTGTGTGAGGTCACCAGCCCTAAACTTGGCAATGTCTATATCATGTGGAAAGTGGGTGAAGAGCCTTACATAAAGGGCTCAACCAGCACTCCCATCCATCAACGGGACTCCACATCTGTTCTCAGCATACTAACAATATCAAAACAAGAGTATGAAAAGTACAACACCATCACCTGCTCAGTCATACATGCCAACATGAATAATAGAAGAAATCCATTACAAGTTTCAACATCCCAAAGGAAACAGCCAGAGTTATCATGTGATTAATGTACAAGTACTGGACCAAATGATCATCATGACATTTACCTGTTGTTCACTTGTGTTCTCCAGTGCTTCTGTCCTGTTGCTCTCTTGTCAGATCATATATCTTTGTTGTTTTTCTGTGTTTTTCTGTGTATATCTGTATCACTGAACTGCATGGATCAAACATAAATGCCAAATTACAGTCAAAACTATGTTTAATTTTATATTGCATGCAAATAAATATGGTCACATGAAAGCATAGTCTGCATAATATCATAGTGTGAAAAATCAAGATTTTAAATTTTCTTATGTGTTTTGTCCTGTGCTTTATGTACCACTGTTAGGCTATTCATGCCTAAATATGAAATTCAATTTGAATTCAATTTGAGTTTTGTTATTCTAAGAAATAAATGATCAAACAAATAATATTTACAAATTCAAGAAAATAAGTTTATCTGTTACTACAAACGAACCTTTGATCCAATGTTAGCAAAACTCAGTTATCACATGACAACCATTTGCAAATAAAATGAAAGACCTTTGAGATTAACATTTTCAGTGTTTACTAAAAGTCCACACCGTATGATCCAATAAAT